CCCTCCCCTTGATTAAGCTCAATCGGAAATTAATCAAAAAATCAAGGTGAATCATCTTCGTCTATGACTCAAACTCTTGTGTGGATTTCATTAAACAAACAGACCTCACAGGATGTATGTTGGCAGTAACTCACAGTGCACAGCCATGGGGCTAGTATCTTTTGTTCTTTAGGTGTTGATACAAAAATAAAATATAATTTGCTGATGTGTTTGTGTACCAACAGATCTTTGCTGAAGAACTCTCAGAACCGTCAGAGCTTAGCTGGATCTGCTCCTCAGGTAAAAGAATGTTTCATTTTTAATATGTTGAATTATAAATTCATATAATTTATATAATTTGAGGCTGTTGCAGAGGGCAGACATGTGTGAAAGGTGGCAGTAACATGTCGGATAGCAGTGTGCTCCTGCTACAGCTCTATCTGATACATGTTGATGCAGAATTAGAAATGTGAGAACTGAGGATGTTACCTTTTTTTCAGAGTGGTGGTCTAGATGGACACAACTCTTTCTACAACCCAGCCTCTATGGGCAGCATCCCACTGCACTCGCTGCCTCATGTTCTCCAAGAGCAGATGAATGGAGCCCTTGCTAATGGATCTGGATACCAAAGTGACAGCAGTGCGACACAGTCCCCTCCACAAGCTTTGTAAGCGTCACCTCCAGAACTGCGTATATACACCTTTAGTGTCATTTACTCAGTTTTGATTTGATATGTAATTATGCGTTCACAAATCCTGATTGCATTTTTTTTTTTCTCTCTCTCTCTACATGTTCATCAAACCAGCATTAAAGAGGAGCAGGAGGATGAGGAGATATGTGAAAATTATCCCTATGAATCTCCAGAGAGCACAGACGAGCACGGTCACAGCCCAGAGATGAACCATGATGAAGAAAACGGCAGCCCAGAAAGGCGCAACCTTCATCTCGATCGCGTGCCTTCTCTCTGACCATGAGGTCCGAGATCTCCAGTGCGAGGCCGCCTCACTCACAGCCTGCGTGACTTTGTATTCCAAAAACAACAGCTTCATCCACATAACCAAACCACTCTGTTTTTGGGGAATTTTTTTTTTTTTTCATATTTATCAGCCTTACTCTTATTTTTTTGTTCTTAATCTAGTTCTTAATTCTTTCTGTACAGTAGAGTGATACCACAAAAACACATTTGTGAAACTGTCTGTTCATGATTTTTCTTCTTTTATATCTGTACACAAAAGGACCATGATGAGCAGAGAAGCCAAAGGCAAGGGAACATTGATAGCTAGCACTTCACAATGAAATATTTCCCCCCTTTTTATAGCTGCTTTCTGCTATGTTGGGGCCACACTACCTGATTTTATTTTAGTAGTCATAATATATTAAAAAAAAAAAAAGATTGTAGAGGAAGTAAAGAAAAATGTTTCTTTAAAAATGAAAATGTTCACTGCCAACATGATCTGATATATTTGTATTTAAGGTATAATCAACTGATCAAAAGAATACGTAGCTTCTTTATACTTGTTGGTCTTTTTCACCCCTTCCATGAACATTGTTGAATTTTGCTCTAACTGAGCTTGTAAGAGTAGATACTATAGATTTACCATTATTGTAAACCAATGCATCTCTATGAATAATAAATTCCTCATGATAAATGTGAATACTCTATCTTTTATTTACCTTTATGATTGCCTTGGTGGTAAGTTTTCATCAGCGTTTTAACATGATGAAATAGTTTTGTTTTTTTTTACCTGATACAGCGCCACTTCTCTCAGTCAATGGTAATGACTTCTTAATGGAAGGTAATGGAAGAAAGACAATGGTGTGGGTGGAGAACTTTCCACTATGGTATTGTGGTATGTCCATGTTATCGTCCTATAAATTCACCTCTATACAGTGAGAAAGTGTGGATTACATAACTGCTGTGGTGTTAGAATCACTGGTTAAGATGAGATGATAAATAACAATATGATTTTATCGAAGTCTTATCTGTTAGTACTTTTAAAATCCAGGTGTTTGATAAATGGCTTTGCTGGGCTTTCTGTTGATAAGATGCCATAATTGAGTGGATCATCTCGGCATTTTGCCATCACAGATCTGTAGTTGTGCTTCCTGACTGGTGAGTATTGATCGATGTGGAGTGTGCTCACAAAGTGGGTGTGTGCATGATGATGGGATGTACTTGAGCTCAACCTCAGAGGCGTTGCAGTTGCAGATGCTACAGTCTACACTGTTGGATTGTTAACCCATACAGACAGGTAATCTTTAAAGCTAATTATTGTGCCAAATTTGATTTCATTATTTTTTCAACCATTGTAATTTTGTTTCTCTCAAGTCTCAAGTAAAACATTTCTTGCATGATTCTTATACTAACTCAAAAACAAGATGCTGCAGTAATGCTTTATTGTCTGAGATAAGTTAGTCTTTAGCTTTGAGGCTACTAAGGCCGTTATGTTGCTGTTAATCAAGTGTTTTGCATGTGTGTCTCACTGCATATCTATTCTCTCCACTTTGCCCTGCACAAGATGACAACTCCCTCAAAGCCTCCTGTGAATGATCAGGACTGTATCAAGCTTGAGAAACTAGGGGACCATGTTTCTGATGGTATGTTGTTCAGTCTGACTCGATGTGGTGCATGCCAAGTGTTAATGGGAGAGTGTATTTTCACGCAGTATATATTTTCAACCCAGGAAACTAGATCCAAATAAACATTTGCTAATCAATACTCTCTCACTGCCGAAGTTTTATAGAGCAAGCCTCCTCCATTATACATTTCACATCTCACCTTCCTGACATGCTTCATGTTAATGGTCTCCTGAATAATTAAAACTGCCTCATATAAAGATTTGAGTGACTAACTTGTCCAACAGTAACTGGACTGGGTGTAAGACCAGCCCTGCATTTTATACTGTCAGTAACTAAATAACAATTTGTGCGTCTAAAATCATTTCCTCTATTTCTTGCATCATCCTTTTTAAAGGAAACACCCCCAAGCCAGTGACTTGCAGTCCACCTAGTAAGATGATGGGCAAGTTCAGTGGGGTACGCAGACTCAGTACCATCTCAGAGCAAGAACCAGACAAGCTGGACACTGATCCCAGTTCCCATGAAGCCCAGGGGGGCAGTGAATGGGGTGGCTCCAGTTTTTCTATGTGTTCTGACAAGTTCAAGAACAGCAGCAGTCATTTCTCATCTGATGATTCATACCTGCCTGGCACTGGAGGTACTGTTTAACTCCTCTGAGGTAGAACAGCTGATGCAATTAAATAGGAAAACCCTGAAACTGTGGTGCTAATCATTAGCAACAGTGTAATTCTGATGCTGATTTGTGGTTAGAGGTGCACTAGGTCCATACTAAGCAATTAACGTCCTTGTTTTGATCTTTTTTTCTTCTATTCTTCCTTTGCACCAGACGACTGTGCAGCACTTCTGCTCGCCTGCCTGTATTGTCGTTTCCATGAGTTAATAGTCCTGCTGCCGGATACTTGTGAGAGGGCTGTGAGCCATTGTTTTCCCTCCTACAACTACATCACAGCGTCCAGTGAGAGGGACCAGCATGGAAAGGACTGCTGCAATTACAAGCTGGAGCTGGACTGTAATTTCTGCGGCTCCTGTCAGGACGCAGGAGAACTTCTGGAGCTGGCTATGGAAATATCAGAGATGTGCTATCACTGAGGCATTTCCTTTTTTTGTCTTTCACCTCTGACCTGTACGTGTAACACGCTGAGCTCACTTCAAACAAAATCACCAACATCATACATTTTTTAAAAACCTGACTGTTCAACTCACAGCATCACTGTCTCATGCATATTCACATATACATAATAATTGCCTGCATTGCCAAAGGTGTTTTTTATATTGGCCTCATATGGAAATGAGCTGTAGCTTGTGTGCCTCAACATTATTCAAGCAGCTACTGCCACTGTGTGTAACAATGTGGAGTTGGCTGTAAATAATAATAATAATAATAATAATAATAAAAAGCCGTTAGGTTTTGTGTGTCAGCCTCCACATTTTTAATTTTTTTTATTAATTCTCCAACCAAGAGTTATCCTAATACTTTGATAGAAAAGATATACATATCCTATGATGGTGTCAGGCTTACATGAAGCAGAGTGACGTGCATAACACATAAAACACCAGACACAAGATGCATCACATTCATTCATCTTACACATAGCACATACACCTCTGATCCCAACCACCCTCTACATTTGGTGTTAATGCTTAAATGGATTGCTTTGTTTTATTGTAATCTTCAGACACTTTCCATGTCTGCAAAGTAGGAGTTTCTACTCAGTTTTTGTTTTACCATAAATAGGTATAAATTAGATTTTTTTTCTCTCCATATTGTGTTCATTTTTTGCACAGCACCAAAAGGAGCGTGTAAGGGAGAGTCATGATGTATGAATCTTATCTCTTTTGTATATTCTTGTGATCAATTTCTATTAGTTTAACGGTAGGATTTCATCAGTGGTACTGCTGTTTGTAATATATGAGCATTTCTTCCATTTTGTGTTGGCTTCTTTAAAATTGAGATCTTTATTTATTTATTATAGTGTATAATGATGTTGAGATTATTCCTTGACCACCATGTTATCTGTTCTACCAATTTATAGATTCCTTTCCCCTTCTTTAAATAGCATTTCTTTGATTTTCCAACTTTTTAGCTGAAAGATTTGTCCATGTGAATTTCCTCTGAAGCTCTGAAGTGTATAATTCCTTTGTACTCTAAGTACAGTACAAAAGGAAATTGAGGTAACAATATAATTTTTAAATAGATGTATTCTTACAATTAGATTTATTGCAAATTTTGACCATTCGCCCCACTGAGCAAAGTAATCAGATGCCGACATGTGGTCATGTCAGGGCTAAAGAGAGGACGGGACAGCAGAGTGGGGATGGTTATGTATGTCGAGCATGTGGTCACGTCCTCTTCACTGACATCTTTTACGTTTCTGGTGTCACTCCATAAAGCATAACAGAATAGACTGAAGTCATCTGACAGACCAAGGAATACAGAGAGCATGTTTTCTAATAACAACTCCAGCCATTCACAGCAGACTAAATTTAATCTGGTCCAAGTGAAAGGAGCATGGATCAGACAAACAGAGCAGTGTCAACTGACAGAGGGAAAGTTATCAGATGCTAAAATGTAAGTACTAAATGTAAAGTGATTCATATCATGCGTTTAGATGATTATTTTTGTAATTTATTGCAAGACATGATTCTGTAATATGTAATATTATTTGTGTTAAATGTTTAATGGCAAAATGAATGAGCTTAATCTGGCTGTTAACAGCATATACGGCAGCGTAATGTTATGCAACCTTAATGAGAAGTGTCTGTCTTTCTTAAAATAGGGTTGCATTTATAATTTGCTCACATTGAATTGGTTACACTGTACATTCATTATACTGTATGCTGCTTGGTCATATATTTATCACTATGCTCTGTGGACTGGGGGAGCTGAAATACCTTTCTATTTTAGGCTGAGGTCACTAACGTGTGAAACATGTACAGCAGTGGTGGAAGAAGTATTCAGACCCTATAGGCTACTTAAAGCCCCATAAATATATTTTCTCTATCTCAAGTCCTACTGTGAGTGATGGGATCCCACATGGAAACAACCAGTTTTCTGTTTCCATAGTTTGGTTTTTTCACAGTACACAAGTTAAGTAAATGCACTTACTTTCCACCCCTGCTGTGCTGTGAGTTAAAAGCACTGTGTGATCAACAACAAAGCACTGAATCAAACTTTGAAACTGAGCCAATAACCTATTTTTTAAATTTCTTTTTCTATTTTCTTTGCTTTTATTGTGAATAATCTTCAGCTATGAGAACAAGTCAGAACATGGACTTTCCTGGACAGTAGTCAGCCCCATCGTATTCACCTACAGAGTCCTTCAGTGCAAAAATATATTGGATCCCAGAAATGACACATTGCTCTGGGGTCATTTAGGAGATGAAGAGCTTAAAGGTACCATAAGTAACTCTAAACCTGTGAAACGCTTTGTTGTCATTGATGAAACTGTCAATCATCTGTATGGCTCTCAAGTTATTCAGTACTTTAAGGCCAGAGAAGTTGTGTACAAGATCCTCCCACTGCCTACCACCGAGGAGAACAAATGTATGAAGTTAGTCACCAAGATCCTGGAGGAGGTCCATGAGTTTGGTATTGACAGGCGCTCTGAGCCAATCATAGCCATCGGTGGTGGGGTTTGTCTGGACGTGGTGGGTTTGGCAGCATCTCTCTATCGCCGGAGGACGCCATACATTCGGGTGCCCACCACTTTACTCTCTTATGTTGATGCCAGTGTGGGGGCAAAAACAGGGGTCAACTTTGCTGGTGGGAAAAACAAGCTGGGAGGTTACGTCCCCCCAGTGGCAACATTCTTAGATCGCTCATTCTTCCAAACTCTTCCACCACGTCAGATCTCCAACGGGATGGCAGAGATGCTAAAGGTGCTCGTCACTGCATGGCCATTGATCGTGTGTGTGTTTTCCTGAAGGTCTTGCATGTAGTGGCCCATGAGCAACAATTTAACTTACCGTCAACCATTTTTGAAAGCGCAACAAATGTTTGAAAACAGCTTTTGCATGATGATCATGATAATTGCAAGTTATGTTGTTGAGAAGTCTATTGAAGCTGATTTTTGAACTGCAATGAAATTACCTCAATTCTTGGCAACAAAGGCGAAACCCAGCTAATTGTATTAGCATACACTGTTAGCCCGGATTTCGTATCCAATTAAACAACTTAATTAAAATGTATATAAAGTTTTCTTCCATTACTATGAAATGTTAGTATATTCTACTAATTTGTAGACATATTTAAATGTGTGAATAACTTTAAGTTAGATGGCTTCAAATGACTGAGTTTTAGTCATGACCAACCTTCTTCATCTCCACAGAGTTGAAGGGGTGCCATTTGATAATGTACTTTTAATGACAATATTACTGAACACAGAATCACGAGTGTTGTAGATAAACTACTGGATTATTTTATAAACCGTCGCTTCAAAATATTCTGAGAAACCCATGTTTTTCTGTCAATTATGTCTAATAGTGGTACTAACCAATGAGCCTCTGAAACCGTTACTATGGCGACGACGCTGGCTAGATCCGCGAATTATTTTCAGATTTATTCAGATTTATTCAGTATTATATTATATTGCAACAAATTACTACAGTTGCTGAAGTTATCAAAGAAGTGTGTAAAGTTGACGACTTAAAGTGATGAATTTCACCACCGTGACCACAGATTTTGAAGCTCGGCGATTGGCTGTTTTTTGAAGCAATGCACTATGGTAATGTCAAAGCTGTAGCCCGCCCGTCATTCTGGTTAGCCGCTGGAGAATGAGGGATGTTGCCTTGTTTGCGAGTGTGTTTGAATTCGACGGATTGTTGGTGAGGAGTGGGAACTTTGTTTTAACGTTAACCAATTCGACATTTTTCACTTTTTAGCTAACGTTAGCTACCTTTGTCACGCCAGGAGCTGTTTGTGAGCAGTGAAAATTTTGTTTAGACTAATTCGACGGGACATTTTTCACCTGTTAGCTACCTCTTAGCTAGCAATACTTCTCAGTCGCATGCAGCAGACACCGCCCAGCGTTGAGCCCCTACAACTAGCGGAGGACAGGCCACAGGAGGGCTGCTGTACTGCGGTCTACTAAATCTGGTGAGTGCAATGAAGTTAACGTTGGTGACCACGTTGTATTTAGAGACTGTTATTGATTTTGAAGTTAATTAATCAAAACATAAAACAATTGAAACACCCTGGCGAAATGGCTAATTAGACTAGACTATACTATATTAGCTATTAACGTAACATTACTTTGCTGACAAGGGTTTTCCTTGGAGTTTTTTTAGATAATGGTGTTAAAGGTCGGAAACGTGCGTGGAGTAGACAGTTATTGAGCAGTATGAGTGTGTTTATATGGGGAAAAATTATGAAAATGTTAACATATAATTGATTGCCTTACGAAACAGAGATCCTGACTTTAACAACAAACTGGTTAACCTTACAGATCCCTCTGAGCTCCCAGAGAAGCCAACCATCAAAATCATCGCTATGATTGAGCTTGTACCAATCCCATCACCAACTGAATCATGTAGTGACACACCAAGGGAGGCTGACACCGAGATCCTGTCCAATTCCTATTTGGATTAAATTTTTCTCTGGCCAGAGGTATTTGAAATTCCCAAATTTTCTGTTGATGTTGAGTATAGACTTTGTGAAGATAATCTGTTGTATCTCAAGGATGCAGTCTATCTCAAATAGTACCCTTGGTTGCCCAACTACAAAAGTATATTTGGTGCACAATTTTGCAAATCAGTACTTAGACACAGCCAAATATGGCAGTCAGAAAAGTCAGTTCAAGACCAGTAATGTCCTCTTTAATAATTACTCAGTGCAGTTGTATGGGTCTTTTCATTATAAACAGATGAAGATATTTTTTGGTACAGCGCAGCATTAACTAACTGGCATGATTATGTCCTCTCCTTGTCAATCTGTTTCTTTCTCTGAAGGGATGTAACCGATAAGGACTTGTACAGTGAAACTCCAGTGGGAATCCTCTGCGTCAATCAAGAAAATCCTTGGTTCAACCCATCCATAGTAGGGATCTTGGAATGGATTGTGGTGGTGGATGAACTGGCCAACCTGCCTCAGACTTTCTGTGCCCTTTTTTTGGATTAATTTATGCCCTGCACCTGGACCATGAAAAACACTGTCTATTTTATCCAGCAGGTCATGTTCAAACTAAGTAACATAACCTAGATAAGATATTTGATTTTGTCCACATCGCCCAGCCCTGTGTGAAAACTTTTCGGAAGACTGAACAACACAATTTTGTTGTTGTAGCTGTTTCAAGCTTATGATTCAAGGTTGTTCAAGATCTATTAAAGCAGGGCATCCATCTTGTAACTCAGAAGGTACCAGTAGCTCTATACTTGTTTCTGAGTAGCTCACCAGGCACTCATTCACTAGACTGCAAAATGCTAGTAGGAGCTAGGTTGTAAACCTCTGTTCAAATAATTAGAAATAAACTTGCACAAGTTTTTCAAAGCAAGCCGTGATGTTTCTTGACTGTCATGTTCTATTTTAAACTGAAGCTTTTATTTGCTTTTTGTTTTCTTAATTTAAACTTTCTAGTTTAATTTAAAAAAAAAAAAATACAAATACAAATCTTACTCACTTTAACTAAAGATACTAAGTGGAGTAATGTGGTAAAGCAATTCATATTACAAATGATTTTAAGTTAAACAAATTCTAATTTAGTGCATTAACCTTAAATATACTAAGTAGAATAATAGGGCAAATGTTGTTTAGCAACTGATATTACAAAAGATCAGTTAAATCAACTTGGCATTTAGTGTATTGAACTTCAAATAATAATTACAGTCCTTTAAAGATTTAAGTTAAATTAACTCAAGTTTTCATTATACATTACTTAATATTTTTAAGCCAACTGGCTTCCTCAAATTTTTTAAGTGAATTAAACTTATCTGGGTTTACAGTATATTTCTAAGGACTTATTTTCATTGATTTTGAAAATTGCCCATTACCAATGCAAACTAACACTGTCTTGTTATGTGATCTACAGTTATTTGCAGAATCCCAAATATACAGTATATAAAAGAAGAGAGCAACAGCAGTTACAAGTTGTGACAAAAAACACTTGTTTGCTAAAGGTCAACTGAACTTCTCTCAACTTTGGCCGAACCGTTCACTGTCTCTCAACAGCTTTGGTTTAAGCTTTAAGCAATATTTCTCAACTTGAACTTCTGTGCTGGTGAAAACCATGACTAAAAGCTGAAACTCGACTCCCCCCAAAACACTAAACTTCTCTTGGTTTGTATTGCACTAACCTCTGTCTATTAGCTGAGGTCCCCCTCCTCTCCAAAACGTTTGCTTTACTCGTTACTTCACTTGGGTGTTTGAGCATCACTGTTTAGAATAATGCATGTGCAATTTGACAGTAGAAGCCTGTTTTTATGCTGAAAGGAAAGTTTCTTTGCTCTCATCTTAAATCTTAACTGAATTGCAGACATGTACAGTATGAACCAGCATGATTTTGTGACTTCAAAGCTAGTTTAGAGGCCAGTTGTGGTTCAGTATGCAACTTCCACAAGTTAGATAATCAACAATATTTGCATATTCAGAGATTTTGTCTCCTTTAATGAGCAAGATAGAGTGCTTTTAATAATTTTTTACCAGGCTAATTGAAGTTTTTTGTGGAAAAACCACATCAGACACAAATTATTATACAGAGCAAAGTATTTGTATATGCATTAAAATATTTTTAAAATTCTCAATGCACACATTGTACTAAAACCAAACGCATGTGATTATATATTATTAGGACAGTGCAATTTATAATAGAGGGTGTATATATACTCTTCCATTTGTCTCCAACTAACCACTGTAATTTTCCTATTTTACCGTAGATGGCCCTGATGAAGCACCGTGGCCTGTTTGAGCTGCTGGAGGCTGAGGGCAGGAAGCTGTTACACACCAAGCTACAGTCATGTGAGAGCAACAACAGCTCTCAGCACGAAGATAGCGCTACAGCATCGACCTGCATCGCCATAGAAACCATGCTGGAGGAACTGGCTCCTAACTTGTGGGAGGATGATTTGGACAGGCTGGTGGATTTTGGTCACCTCATCAGCCCTGAATTAGAAATGGTCAAGAAATGGTTTCTATTTTGTTTGTTTTTGAAATAAAAGATCATGGAGAGTCCCTGAACCTGCCTAGACATCCATTTCCATCTTTTCTGACATTCACAGAGAGTGTTGCCAGCATTGCTTCATGGGGAGGCGGTCAGCATCGACATGTCCTTCATGGTGTATGTGGCCCACCAGAGGGGGCTGCTGACAGCAGATGAGAAGGAGCGCATCATCCAGTGCGTGCTGGGCCTGGAGCTGCCTGTGTGGCACCAGGACTGCACCCTGGCCCTGGTGCAGAAATCCCTCAAGGAGCGTCTCAAGCACTCCGCTGGCTCTCTGAGGATGCCTCTCCCCACAGGACTGGGACATGCAGGTATAATAACGTTTCAACAATCTTTTGCCCTTTTGACCTTATGAAATACAGGTGAAAGACAATTTGCCTGTGACATGAAATATGTTGATAGACAATTTTCTGATTTTACAGAAATCTTCCATGATGTGATTGATGATAATATCCTCTGCCAAGCTTACCAGAAATGGACTGATGAGCTTTCTTCTTCTGGGAACAAATGAAATGTGTAACTATAACTTGAAAAACAAGTTTTAACTTTAAGTCCCCCTATTTAGGATTTAATAAGCAGTATACAGATGATTAATAAATGGTTCTTTACACATGATTATGATGTTTGTTAATGTATTGGTCAACAGCTATAACCCCTCTTGTGGGCACCCATAAGTGGAGCCTGTCTAAACAGATAATGCTTGACAATATACTACTAATAAAATAAAATATGTCCTCATAGAAGAAATTGCAACTGTTGACAAATACTTTACATTAAGACATAAAAATGTCCTTATATCTGCTTACAATACTATACTGTGTCATAAACCTTAATTAAATGTTTGTGTACTTGTTTTTCATGCTAAAATAGTGGGACTTAAAAGTGTTAGTGCTGTGGAAGAAACAAACAAGCTCCACCAACATTCAAATAAAACTTTTAATATTTCTCACAACATTGTTTCCACATTGAGTACCAATGAGTTTGAGTTCACTAATCTGAAACCAGTGCGTACAGTAATAATTGCTACATTCATCTCATATAAACTGTAACAATAAGAACAGTAGCAACATCAGCAGAGAACCTGTCTGTATGAACCACAGGGATGAGAATGAGCACAGAGGTCTAAATTGAGCTAACATGGTTCTTCATTAGTGGTTTACCCATAATGTGCCATAATAACTAACAGTTGGAAGATTCATTATGAGAAATCAGTCATAGAGATGGCTTTAAATTAAGTGCTGCCACCACCTACATGTAATGCTGATGTTCATTCTGACAAGTCACATTACAGGGTTTAGATGATTTATCTAAAGCTGATCTGGGTTCAATCACAGGGCAATGTTGCAGGCCTGTGTGTGCTGCAGTATTAAGGCTCAGTACCTGTGCTCTGTGTGATCATAAGGGTCATTTTGCAGTCCACTGATGCTATACTTCACCTGTGACAAAAATGATCTTAAATCAATGTCCACTTACTACCTTTCTACAGACCTTTCAAGGCAAGGTGTTTATCAGTGGGTAGTGTTTGCTCAGTGTTTCTCATTGAAGACTGAGATGCAACTGAAAGCTCTGGAAAAGGCTACAAAAGTGGATCACGAGTTAAGATTCTTGTTTACTATTTCCAACTTCTGACTTCACCTGTTTGTACCTTATTCATTGCCTGATTGCCATCTTGCTGTAGGTATTGCTTTTTATTATGAAGGAGAAAAGCCACTAACAGTGCATCAGCTAAGCTGTTCATAGTTATTCATATCCTACAGTCTCAAAACAATTCTGAATATTCAGTACAACTTTGGAAAACACTGTCTTAAAGTGAAGAATTAGACCTTTATAAAGATAAAAACAAAATGCACAGCCAAAACATGCAGCTCCAAAGTGTTCCATATTAAATACACAAAGAAGATGTTATGAAATAAATAATCATAAAGTATTGAACACATTGAAATTATGACTGCTGATATATGAAAAGCTTAAGGATTGGTTAAAAACTGGGCAATAAAATTTACAGCTCAAATCAAAATGAAATGTCATCATTCCTATTTTCATTGCTTTGTATTTCCCCCAATGACACAAAACCTTTCATGACTGACATTATATGAAATAAAAACACTTTTGATAAAAGGCACTGTCAAACAAATATTTCTTTACTGAAATAAAAACAAAATAAATAAAACTCTGCTACTATGAGAATAAAAATAAACTAATATTCCATAATAATGATTTTAATAACTTATTATTTCAGAATTTAGTGGTTTAATCATCCATTTTACTATTTACTTTTATGATTATGTATTTCACAATGCCTTATTTATTTTATATCGAACACTTTGGTCTTGTGGTTCTTATAGTGTTATCTGACTTGAGGCCCCGTCCTACTGCTCTCTCACGTAACTCAGCGTAACTCTTCAGGTTAATCCATGAAGCACCAAACATCAATATAAACATCAACAAAATGTTGCATCACTCCTCTTACATCACCATGGTAACAGAAATGACTGTAAGGCACTTAAATCAATGAAAAAGATAATCACTTCGATACTGTTTTAGACTAATTCATAAGGAGATCACATTGTCAAGACATGATGCTGCTCTACAGGCACAACTTCTGCCATTGCATAGTTTAACCAAATGGAGGCTGTGCTGTAACAGGGCTCTCAGTTTATGGCAAGGTAGTTATCAAGAAGGCATACTTATGCAATGTGCTACAACTGTTGAAAACAAATTGCTGAAATATACAACAACCATACACCATCAAGAATCTACAATCTCATACAATATCTGTATGCATTTGAAAAGCCAAATACAATAGTTAGTTTATGCTTAGATACAAAAAAAAAGAAAGGCAAACAATCCACGTTTCAATTTACAGAGGTCATTCCAGTGTTTGGACAATGTCATGCATTTCATACAAAATCCCAAAGCAGTCTCCTTATACTCCATGGCAATATAAATGTTCACATAATGGAAAAAAGAACATCCTGAATGTGAAATGTCATTGCAGTGATGTAAAAAAAAAAAAAACAACAACAATAATATAGGAAATGGATGGACAATTATAAAAACTGAGCACTTGCATCAACACGTTTGAAGTATTACAATATACTGCGTGTGCTGAAATAATGGCAGTTTTACCAGTTCTATAAGTCTGATCACTACAGGCAAGAATACAATAAAAACTGAATAGATTCATATTTTGAACATCAATCACATATCAAATATTTGTAGAATTATGTAAGAATATTCAGATCTATCAAGTTAAATCAGCTTCTTGTGCGCATGTCAGGGCTACTATTGCCTTGATTTTGACTTGAACTAAGATTCTACTAGTTTTGAGACTGCATCATAAGAAAATCTTTGAAATTTGTTTGTTTGTTGTTTAATTCCTTAAGTAAAAAAATCTGTGGTTTTTGGCAGTGAGGAATGTATTGTAATAAACACCAATCAGCCACAACATTAAAACCACGACAAGTGATAAGAATAACATTGATTATCTCCTTACAATGGCATCTGTCAGGGGGTAGGATATATTAGGCAGCAGGTGAACAGTCAGTTCTTGAAGCTTTGACAAGGGCCACATTGTGATGGCTAGATGACTGGGTCAGAGCCTCTCCAAAATGGCAGGTCTTGTGTGGTGTTCCCAGTATGCAGTGGTTAGTACCTACCAAAAGTGGTCCAAGGAAGGACAACCAGTGAACCGGTGACAGAATCATGGGTGGAGTAAAGACTGGCCTGTCTGGTCCAATCCCACAGAAGAGCTACTGTAGCACAAAGTGCTGAAAACCTAAATGCTGGCTATGATAGAAAGCTGTCAGAAGACAAAGTGTATTGCAGCTTCCTGCATCTGCTGAACCCTGTCCACCCCCAAAAGTGCCGACACTGGGCACGTCTGAACTGTATCAGAACTGGACCATGAAGCAATGGAAGAAGGTGGCCTGGTCTGGTGAACTACATTGTTTACCTGGGGAAGAGATGGCACCAGGATGCATGATGGACAGGAGGAATGCCGGGGGAGGCAGTGCTCTGGGCAATGTTCTTGTGGGAAACCTTGGATCCTGACATTCATGTGGATGTTACCTAACGAATCATTGTTGCAGACCAAGTAAAACCCTTCATGGCAATGGTATTCCCTGATGGCAGTGGCCTCTTTCAGCAGGATAAAGCACCCTGCCACACTGAAAAAAAAAGTTCAGGAATGGTTTGAGGAACATGACAAAGAGTTCAAGATGTTGCCTTGGCCTCCAAATTCCCCAGATCTTAATCCGATCGAGCATCTGTGGGATGAGCTGGAAAAACAAGTCAGATCCTTGGAAGCCCCACAACTTACAGGACTTAATGGATTTGCAGCTAATGTCTTGGTACCTGATACCACAGGACAGTTTCAGAGGACCTCGAAGGGGACCTACACCACTCAGGTGGTTTTAATGTTGGCTGATGGGTGTATCTGGTACACACTGCTGGATCAATAAGCATGGGTGGTTAAAGGATGCGTGGTTAATGGTGAAACTTGACCTTTCTCTCTTGTTACTGGATTGTTGTGCTGCATTTTGACATTATGACACTGAAGAAAAGACTACATTTATCAATTATTGATGGTGATTTTGTTCATTTTAATTATCTAGAAGGAGACGTTTTAGCTTAGGATTGCTTTTAATGTGCTTTTATTTATTATCTCAGGATCTTTTAAAAAGCCCTGTTATAAATTAATTTTTAAGGGGAATGTGTACATAAAGTCCTGTTTACATAGATACATAAATAAGATCAAATCTACAAATGATTAATATTTGTCAAGGAAGAAATTTCAACTGGAAGACTGACAAAGACTCAGCTAACAGCCAAAACATGTGCATAGCAATACAACATCGATGTATACACATCTTAATAAGGCATTGGCACATTCAAGTTCAATCTAAGACACAAGGAGTGTAAAGCACTATTGTAATAAATAGATTTTTTTTTCTTCTATTATTGCTAGTGATTTAAAAAGCAGTGTTCATCTCACCACAAAATATCTACATTTCTGACCATGATTTATAACTTCCCTAGATTCTTTGGAATCAATAGAAATAAACGTAATCTAGCCTCTATCCAAAGATAAATGCTTTTTTTTTTTTTAAATATAAAAACTTCTATTTTTGTAACTCATTGTCATCAAAGTATTGATTAAAGCAAACATACTTTAAAATCAGTCCTTGAAATCAAGGTTGAGGGCTTGAAAAGACAAAGATATCACAGAAAATGAAGAAAAAAAAAAAACATGAATGGAAAAGAATCAATACATGTAAACACAGGTGGGGGAGACAAAAATAAAAACATAAACAAATGACAAAGAGGAGAAAGCCTCTCCAGCAGCTGAGAGTGAGTTAGCTACTGACAGGAACACGTGCAGCAGGATGAAGGGGTTGAAGATGCAGGTGAGGTGTCTTCCAGTAGGGGGTGCTAACAGCCCTGCTCATTCTCATCCATGCTTACACTGCTCTTGCGGCTGCTGTCCTTTGAGGTGTCTGGGGAGACGGACGAGAGCAAAGGGTCCCCCCCTCTCACCGGTGATAAGGTGTCTTCCATGAGGATGTCGTTCAGTTTGGAGCTTGGCTTGCTGTGGACGCTGTAGTGGCCATCGGGGAAGTTAGAGTGGCCTTCGTTTAGCTCCAGGGTGCTGGGTGGTTCGGGAGTGCAGGCGGGGTGGTGTTGGTGATGGGGGTGGAACGTGTACAGGTCCTGGTGACAGTCCTCCAGGGCGGGCTCCTGCTTGATGGTCCGGGCCCCGAGTTCAGCAGAGCAGAGCGCTGAGGATGCGATGGCCAGCCCGTGAGCCCGGGCCTGCATCTCTAACTCCTGTAAACCCCGCAGACAGACGGACGGGTCATTCAGTGAAAAGTTAACTCGCTGTCATAAAGTCTATCACAAGCCTCTGTTCTTGTATCAGGATGACTCGAGTTTCAGATAACTGTACTGTTTCACTGGCTCTGTAGCTGCTCAAGAATCTCTTTCCAATGATTAAATTATAGCATACTAATCCAGGGTTTGTGGGTTGGTGACTTTTTTCTTGTTATAAAACCAGACCTAGCATTGGCTGAGCATTTTGCCTCAACTTTGCACTTGTAAAAAACTCAGGAGCTTCTCTTTTTTCCACAACATGCTGTTCTAATTAATGGTTGCAAAACAAATGCACAATGTGACCAATCAATCAATGTCTGCTGAGCTGAGTCCCATTGATCCTTGTTATGAATTAGTTACAACGGCACGGTCTAAACAGCCAGCTTCCTCATTAAATACATTGTTGTGTGAATTAGTGCCTCTGCTACTTTTTCCCTGAAGCTTGATATATTTCAGAGAAGTGTAATCATTCTTTCTGATGTTAGCAGAGGCACTCCCTTCTTTTTACCCTCCGGACACACAACACATGTAGTTTTCCTTGTAATTTTATTTTATGATAATAAATCACTTGGCTTCATCAAAGCATGTTTACCTGTATCCTCAACATCAGATGTCGGTTGGCATGCTCAAGCTTCTTCTGACGATTCTCCAGCTCCTTTGCCCTCTGCTGCTCCCGCTGCAGCTTCCTGATGTAGTCCACTGATGCCTTCAGGATGGTGCCTTTGTTCCAGCGCATGTCCCTGACGATCACAGAGGAGCCATTATTCTTACATCTTATAGTCTCTTAGACGTCACAGTTTTGAAGTCAGACATTACGCACTCTCCAATCAGGAAAATATGATTATAGGTTTCTCATTACTGCCATTGAAGCATGTCCAGTTAAAAACAAGAAAAGAGATAAAGAATTCTTTACCGAACTGAATGCTGCAAAAAAAAAAGTGCATGCATGCAGAGGTCACAAGCAGTCATAAGGATGACCCTGAGCTCTCAGAAGAATTGATGGTTGTGATGGACATTTTGAAGGGGTAAAATCAATCCGTACTGGGATGAATCGCTCTTTTAGATCCAATGACAATTATGCTGAAAGGTGTTATGGTGCTGTTTAAAGACTTTAGGTTTTTTATTGCATTCACAAAATTAAATTTAAAGTAATGATTCAATCCTGGTACTGAAAATCGAAACTAAACACACCTGTTAGCTGTATAATTACTTTAAGACTTTAAGACAGGGCTGTTTGTGAAAGGCAGCCCTCTGAGTTTGTGTGTATGTAGGTGTGAGTGTGGGTGGAGCACCCAGCTGGGGTTCAGCAAAACAACCATGGGTGGACAGACACAACAAAAGGGGCTGCTGGTAAGGTCTAATGGCAGGGAAAGAGTGAGCTTTTTTTAACCTTAAAATATCAATAGAAACATACAGTAAATACGATTGATATATTCATCATCAATCAGTCAGTTTGAGTGAAATTTACTTGTATATACTACATTTAAACTTTGAGTGTATCAGAGTTTATCCGTTTAACCATTTTATGATTGATTCAACATTTACTTAAATGATGTAAAACTGACAAATCTGTATAACTTAATAGTTGGGGGACAAAATCCACAGAAATACATTATAAAGTTCAGCTGAAGCTAATATGAAGATTCAACAGTGAGTTACACAAATCAAGTGGTTAACTTCAGATGTTACAGTCTCTTTGGTGCAACATTTCCCTCTGTGTGTTTCCCCAGACAGTGTTTCCTTGATAAGCCGCCGTAGAGGGATGGTAACACAAAGAGGGGATATTGTACTAAAACTTTGGAAGATACTGGCTTGATTTGTCTAACTCAGACTACTGAAGGCTCATATTGGTTTCAGCTGAACTTTTCCTCCATTTTTATTGCATTAGGATGGGATCTTTTCACAGAAATTACAGCCACCAGTAACTCTCTCAGCGTGCACACAGTATGAGCATTTTATTAAACAGGCTACTGGCGTATAATGGCTGTTTATGGTAGGCAGAGGGTGAATTACTCATCTATATTTTTCCCACTTATTTTTCCAATAATTTGTATTCGCATTTTTTCCTGACTTTTCCTTGTAAAAAAAAGTTTTGTTGTCACAAAATCTCAGTAATTATGGTTTTCAAATTTGTCTTCAATAAGAAATAAAGCACTAAAATCAGTAACTTACGGGTCATTGGATTTTGGAATTAAAGTTCCCAATTCCTTGATTCGATCGTTGATGTTAAACCGTCTTCTTCTCTCAACTACAGAACAAAAACAAAGGAGAAACAAATCCATGATTATCTGATGAAACACTATTTGGAAATTTGTTTTGATGATTTTTATTTTCCAACAAAGCAAACAGCACCACGACAATCATCAAGTATTTTCAAACATTCCCATTGATGGAGATATGTACGGTATACAATTAAGAGCAATTAAAGTGCAATTTAAACTCACTCAAATTATGGTTATCCTTCTTCTGCCTTTCCTTCGCCAGAGCTCTTACCTCAGCTTCTGGAAAACACATTTTGATTAACCAATGAAATGAACAGTGCAGTGCAAGTATAAAAAAAAAAAAATGTGCAGCAGTTAAACGTCTACATTTTGAAGCTAATTAACCAGACGTACCCACAGGGAACCCTTCAGGCCTTTGATAGTTGTCAAATTTGCCACAGGATCCAGACTTATCCAGCATATGCATGATGGCCGGGGATTGTGAAACTACGTGATAAATGATGTTGTTTTCAAAACCACAAATGTACAGAATAGATATTTAAATACAATGGAAAAACATGTCAGTCATATACAGTAAACATCCCCACAGGGAGAAGGATTATAAGAACTGGATTCGTGCTACATTATGGGCTGCACAAAGGCCTGGAGAGTAGAACTTTGCATTTATTGTTATAGTCTTCATGGTTTCCGTGCAATAGAGAAGCTGAACCTGTGTTAGAGTAAATTTTCACAGCTCATGGATCTGTAAATGTTTGCTAAATATATTTTGATGACAGGAGCCAGGCATTTAAAGCATTTGTATGTCTCTTGCTATGACAGATTGCGGTGCTTACCAGAGTATTCCCTTTTGATGTTCGACAGGTTGGCAGGGCAGGAGTTGCTGATGGGCAGACCTTGCTGGGACATACCCTGATTACCGTACATGTCCATGAGGTTTGCAGGCACAGGGATCTGAGGGGACACAGCAAAAGACATTAAACACGGATTGCACCCAACTTCCCTGTATAGATGCTAATCAGCATCACAGGACGAGCATGATGGGAAGCGTGGAGACATGGAGCAGGCCTTTTACACGGTGAGAAAAGTTTAACAGGTGTTTTATTATGTGGATGAGTGTGAGGTTATCATTAAAAGAATAGTTTCCTTTTTTTGCAGAGAGTTAAATGAGATGCTACTATTATATATGTCCGGTAAATGTGTACCTATAGCTAAGCTTAGCACAAAGACTAGAAACAGAGGGAAACAGCTAGCCTGACTCTGAACAAAAGGTAACAGCATCTGTGTTTCGGCACTTCTAAAGCTCACTAATTAACATGATATTTCTTAACTGTTTAATCTGTACAAAAAACGTGCAAAGAGGACAATGTGGTTTTGAGGAGGCTTATGTGCTGGTTTATCTCTTGGTTGGGTGTAGTTATTTCCTCGAGTCTCTGTTGAGAAGCTGAGGAAGACAAAATGTCATTACTACTTCTTCAAATTTGGGCAAACAGCTAAAGATCGTTGCTCTTCCTGGCAGCACAAAGGAGCTAGTTTTAACATTCACATAACTGTAGATACTTAGCTTACTAGGGCTAAATCACAAGGTTGAGATTTTGTTTATTCTCGAGTACCATAGAATTCGTTTTTATGGTTTTTACCCCACAATGCACCACATCAAAAGCTCTCATGTGGTGACCTTTAGTGTGTGGTTTGCATGCAGGCTCACCGCAGTGCACACATACCGTGTTAGCCATCTGAAGTCCCGGGTCCATCAGGCCAAGGATATCATCACTGTAACTGGACTCCAGACTAATAATGTCATCAATGACATCATCCATCTAAATCAAGAAGACATGAAGGCCAACAGACATACAGGTAAGTAGAATTAAATGATCACAAAAAGGTGTGTGCTCCTTGTGTCACCGTGAGATGAGTCTGAATTAAACCAGTCACCTCTTTCTCGCAGTTAGAGTTCAGGGTCAGTAAGGCCATAGGGCTGTTGGGGGCACTGTTGCCCGGCCCTGGCGGCATGCCCCCGTGGTCAGAGGACTGGTTGGGGCAGGGCAAGCTCAACGCCTGAGAGCCAAGCTTCCCAAGGTATTGTTTCACCTGCTGCTGCTGGGAGCGCTGGATGTGGTATTTGGTTGGGTTCTCCAGGTGAGTCTGGACCTGTGAGTGATCGGAGGAGAGGAGAATGTGTAGAAAATACAAAGGTTTGCTTTAGTGCCAGGAAAGATACAGAGTTTAATGGATGTGTTGCTGGTTAGAAATGCTGCTTGTTTAGAAATAAATCATATGCTCATACTGACCATATAAATGAAACAGAGAAGAGAAAGGTCCTTTCAAATCATCATTCTTGTCGCATTTTATTTTTTTGGACATGTGCTTTTACAAAGTCATCTTTTGGTAGATTAAAACAGCTCTAAATATACCTCAAAGTTGTGCCAGTTCCTGGTATTTCACAGCACAGACTATAATAATAAAATAAACTTGACACAGATTTCAAACCCTACGATGAATTATGCATTTTTCTTTTGAGACGCTGTCAAGAGTTGTTATCTTAAAGAGCGTCAGAAGTAAACATTCTCTACATATTTCTCCTCAGCTCAACTACTTTCTGCTTTTCTGCACTCAGTCCACATATTATCAGCAACAAAAATTACATGCACACCCGTCTCTGCGCTCCCCTGGTTCTGGATAGATTTGATTTCTGTGGATCATTAATCCCCCACGCAGCATTAATGATCCAGAAAAGCTACTGCAGGCAAATAAACAAACTTCAGAGACAGTGTTTGTCAAGGTTTTAAATGGAGGCAGAGCTGCTGTGCTCCAGTTCACGTGTGGAGAGTATATTTTTAAACCTTCCCATGTTTCGCCTGAAGTTTTTGATGAAGGCATTCTGTGATTCGTAAAATGAAGACACTATAGATTGTTAATCACTAAACGTAGATACATAATACATGTCTCAGCGATGTCACAAGAGACAGTAAATTTAGTAGAATTGCATGTAAGATGTGTTTTCTCTAAACCTGATAAGATTATTTTAAACATACCTCATAAGGATGATATCCAAGCATCTCAAACATCATTCCCAGTAAACTGATCCGATCCCAATTTAAAAAACAAAAACGAAAAAAATTTTCTACTTCGGTGTTTAACTTCTATCTACACTGAAAAGTGCTGTAGCTGCTTCCTTCTTGGTTGCACCAGAGGACTAAGCTTGTTAGCATGAGGACACATTCAGCTCATCTTTTAAAAGGCAAGAAAAGTAATTAGTTATGCATGTCAAGGAATCTCAGTACAACACAATGAGCCTTTTCAAATTTGTGTTGTTTTATGTAAAATCTGAATTTATTCCTTTATGGTGTATCACTTGATGTCAAGATGCTGTTCTTACAGTTACTGCCTTTGTTTTGAAAGGCCACCTCTTTTACTGAGACTTGCCCCGGGGCTGTTACTTAGCCCCATCCACTTTTTTTAACCCTGTGGATACTTGGCATGTGTTCTCGGCTCTTTACAGCACAAAGAATAAAGTCTGTTACATCCTTGTTTGTCTGAAGCTCACCGCTCCTCGGGTCTCAAAATGACATGTTTAATCGGCAACAACAGGCGTACTGCATCTCAAAACCAATGAATAACAGCCTCGGCCACGTCGTGTTTTTTAAACTGATGTGTTTGTTCTGCTTAACACCAGAGGATTTAGGTTCATTAACGGAGCTATGAGGAGGTCACAGGCTCTAGATGAACTCTTAGCTACCTCTGACATTTCCTCTGCCGCTGTGAATACCGCTTCAGTCTGCAGACTACACCCGACAGCTGGAATTATATGATAATTGAATAGATATTTAAAAAATGAACCGACTTCAACAGTAACTTAAATTTCACGACACATGGAGAATAAGAAAAAGAAAAAAATGCTCTGACTGCTAAACATTATTACTCAATATTTAATATGTGCAGTGATGATCATATAATCTGACAAATCCACACATTGCAAGTTTGTAATCATGCAATCGAATATTTGAATTTTGTTAGCATTTAAAATGTTTTGCATGTTTTCTTTGGAGAGGACACTAAACTGTGCGCCAGTGACCTAGTTTAGCACTTAGGAGTATTCCTGCTTAGGCAATATGCACTCAGTGCTATTAAGTACACCTGTATAGTCTAATGCAATCCAATACAACGAGCTGTTATATTGATCTGCATGAGATTGTGCAGGTGTACCTAACTGCTGTGACTGTCAAATCTTTTCCACTTTTCAACACAACAAAGGCTTTTTCATGCTCTGTTACGATATCATTGTTCTGCACTCATGTGAGGTACGTTAACATAGAGTGTATCCTGCAGGTATGACTGACACCACCTAAATCTACGATTTACAGCCCATCAATTACTGATTATCTCATACCCTGCTTTGGGCAAAAGTGCAAAAGAAAGAAGTTAATTTGTGTTGGTCACTAATAGAATTCTTTAGTCTTTACTTTGACAGTATTGCAATCACATCCAACCAGTCACAACTCCTCTGCTGTTTTTTAACCGTGACACCTTTAATTCATAGTTAGTTTCTGTCATAACATGGAAAATAACATTCGCTTGTGGGAAAACATCAATAAGAAAAATCCTGTCCCTGCAATAGTTCAATCGTTCCCACAGACCTGGAGGATTACTGAGCGCGCTGTCCTTCTCTTTAGAGGAACAATCATCATTTTATAGCAGCTGGTTTGGAGGAAAAACAGTCCCCAGTGCTGCTTTAGCAACTTCAGTTATTCATCCTGCTCTGAATCTCTGAGGGTCAGGTTTACAGCTGCAAACAGCGTGCAGAGAAGTACAGTTGGTACAGTGGAGTAGAGTGTAGTATAGTAATATAATCAGCTCCCTGGCTGTTTTATTCCTTTCATTCCTGTAAGCTTTTTTATTCATCAATGCACAAATTTCTGCTTCTTTACTCAACTGCTTTGAGGTTCATCTAATGTCCCGCCTTACTGTTAACTAGGTGTTAAAAGAAGAATTATTAATATTAATAATATCATGCTATAAACAAATCTGTTGCAGTTTTTTCAAATACAGGTCAACTCTGTGAAAGCCAGAAATGAGTCGGCTCGGCAGCTCCCAGGCTCTGAAAATACAAACTATACAAACAGCTCCAGATACAGGATGAAGACATGGACGGCAATAAGTGGATATTAGAATATTTCTACTGCTGAAAATATGCTCTTCATTCATTTCTGTGCTAGCAAGCGCATGCTGTATGCAGTAGTAGAAAGTAACCAAGTACATTTACTCAAGTACTGTGCTTACTTGCACTTTACTTGCACTTTACTTGGTAAGTAATTTTTCTGTCACTTTATACATTTAACAGACAAACATTGTACTTTTTACTCCACTGCATTTATCTCTCAGCTATAGTTACTGTTTACTTTCCAGATAAGATTTTACATTAAATAACACAACAACATATGATGAATGAAATGCATAAAACCAGTTGTGACCCCTTGAGAAAAAGAAATACATCACTGATATTTGTGAGCTGTTAGCTGCTCCATCAAAAAGTCATTTCCCCTTTAACCTCCTCAGGTATTAAAATCAGACCTAAAGGGGTAAAACTGTCCAATATTTCATAAAAAATGAAAACAGATCCAAGAATCAGACTTTGTGTTGTTTTTTTCTTTCCTCTCCCATTAATCATCTCACGACTATCCAGATTTATCTGGTGACCTTTTGGAGGTCCCGACCCCTTGGTTGGGCACCATTGGACTAAACTACCTACATGTAGTAACTAACTCAGCATTGACCAGTTATAACAGTAAAATACTACATATACACTAATGTATCAGCAGCAACTACCTAATAATGTTATATACTGTATGATAATAAATCAGTCACAGGGGCCAACGAGCCAATGCTTTTACTTAAAAAAGGGATATTAAACCTTTACTTGTAATGGAGATTTTTTACATTGTGGTGTTAATACTTTTATTTAAGTTAAAGACCAGAGTACTTCTTCCACCACTGATTCCATACTAATGCTTCCCAAGAAACCACAAGTCTGCTAGTGACTACTTATCACAGGTTGCATGTGTACAGGTGGTAACTAGTACAACCCCAGCATTATTCAAATATTTCTATTTTACAACAAAAAAGGCAAACAATGAATTTCTAGAGCAGAAACGTGTTTATTTTGTTTTTTTTCTGATTTCTGATCAATCCTGTTAATCGTCTCACGACCTCTCAGATTCATCTTGTGACCCTTTGCGTGGTCCCAGACACCGAGGTTGGAAACAACTGCAGTATGCAGACATGTACTCTAATGTTTCTCTTATGCACCGACACAAAGACCCAGTGACTCCGTCTTTTCTGTCTGTGCTTGTCTCTTGTAAATTCACACATCCACAGAAGTGATAGCTGCCATCGTCTAAAAATAGAAACAAAGAAACTTGAAGAAACTGTACAAAGGATTAACTGTAAGAGCCCCATACAACTGTCTGTCTTGCTCCTACACTAAGAATAGAAACAAAGAGGTCAGTGAGGGCAGTTAGTGCACGAGACAAGTCGAAGTTGAAGGTGCCCCATTAAAAGATACAACGATGTTACCCTAAAGTATTACGGTAAACACGGATGTTAAGTCCTGAATCATTCTCTCTATTATTTCCTCAAACATTCAGACATTTTGCTTTGAGCTGAAATCATTAGTTGATTAATGGATTCACTGATCAACAGAAAATAATCAGCAACTATTTAGGTAAATTATTAACTGTTACAGTAATTTTTAAAGCAGAAATCCTGGTTCCAGCTTTTCAAATGTGTAGATTTGCTGCTTTTTTCGAGCAAAGCAAGCAATCTGAATACATCACCTCTTATCAGTTACATTTGTGGTAATTTTATGGACCCAACAATCCATTATTTAATTGAGAAAATAAAGACTAGATCAATCAATTGTGAAAATATAAATAACCATTAGTCACAGCCCTAAAATCATAAAAAAAAATAGTAAATATCAGACCTTTTTTAGCCGTCTGAAATCAGTTAGTTTTGTCTTGACATTAAAATGAGCATAAGTGTTTTTTCCATCTTGTTTCTGTCCTCAGGGATTACCTAAATTATCACACATAATTAGATGGTCTCACTGGTCTGAGTTCATTGGAGCCCCCTGAGGGCCACAGACCTCAGACTGGAACATCCTGGCCTTGTCAATAAATACTGTAGCTTGTTTTATGATGAACTGGTCCAAGGGTGAAAAAGTTATCTGTTAGTAAAGAGTCCCGAGGAGTGAGAAAAGGCTGTTTTTCCCAGTGTATTTACCAAGTGGATACATCAACACAAACTGGATTGGTCAGCTTGTGTAAAAGCCAGCGAGCAGAGAAATGGGGTTACAGAGAGATCACAGAGCCAGCAGCCAGGGCCTGAACTTTATTTTCCTCAACTTCACTTAATGTACTCTTTCCAAAATACACTGTTTGGAAATGTGACATCAACGGCTAGCTCACAGCATCTGCAACCACAGCAAACAAGACATCTTGTTGTTTATCAGCTCCTTTTTAGCCATCCACAGCCCAGAGGGCCTCAGCACCATAACCCCTGAAGAGTCAGAAACACTCAGCAGAAACACACACAAAGCGCCCTGCTGTACTGTGGAAGGATGCAGGGTGAGAGCAGAATGACAAACGCTGATTTGTATTTTTTTTGACTTGTATGCTTTGGGCATTCCATGATGGTCCTACCAGGATGCATTAACAAGAATGCCCCCATTTGCTACGCAGACTAGAAGAATGGGCTACTTTGTCTCACAGTTAAGCTGTTAACGTGCACTGTGGAGCTCGCAGACAACAACTGTGATGCTAATGTGAGCAGCTACATCAGAGCAACGTGTGGTCTTCTCCACCTCTGGCAAATTGTCATGCTGTTATGCAAAAGCTTGGCAAATTACCAACGTAATACAAACCTTGAGTCTTTAAATGGGAAATGTTTTCTTAAAATTTGCATAAATCCTTAGAAAACGGGCTTTGACAGTGTGGTTCGCAGTTTTCCACGCTCACAGTAGTCAGAAAACGAATAATAAAAATCAGTGACTAAAATTATTGAGCAATTATAGCCTGTGCTGACAGAAATGTCAACACTGGCTAATATTGCACAGTGCTAATTAAATCATTTTTACACAAAACTTCACCAAATTTCTAGTATAATCTTGTGCTTGAGATTGAAAACTACAAGTTAACTGTCTTGCTGAATTAATGAACAAATCCAAAATGAAATGAAATATCTGTGTGGCATCTTTATATACTTTCTGATGCGTACCGGTCACGAGCTACACGGACTCTATAATCCAAAAGAAACGTACATTTTGTACAAGGTTGAAGAGCACTTTGTTCTTTTCATGGACCCATAAATCCTCTGAGAAAAAAAAAAAAAAAAAAAAAAAAAAACTAGAAATCATTTTTTAACCCTTTTAGGAAGTTATCCTACATAAATTTCAAAGCAGTATTTTTTTTTTTAAATATGCCATGGAATGAAAGCAGTGGGGGCTAATTACGAGCATTCTTCACTGAATTAGCGTTCGGTGTGTGGCAAGGCTGTGCTCGCCTTTGTCTTGATCCCTAAACTGATCCTTTACTTATTCCCCAGAAGGTCAGAGGTCACTTGGTTAATTAAGGGTCCAATCAGTCTTTAGATAAACTCATCTGAGCTTAATGTTTGCACTTTTTGAGGTCCAGCAGCTCTGCCTGGTACCCCTGAGCTTTGTGTGGACTCTGCTAATCTACCCACAGACAGGGGAGCAGGTTAACCCAGCTCAACAGCGCCAAGCTGGAACGGCCTTTTCATTGGAGGACTTCAGTCAATGAAGAATGTCTGTAAGCTCTCGACAAAGCAGAGAAATTACTCTAACTTGATGTATTGTATACAGGGTGAGGGTTCAGGGTGGGGGCGTCCTAAACCTCTCAAAGAGCAGCAGATTATGGAGAGTATAAGTAATGTTTATGCTGCATGAAGAGGGCAATGTTTTCAATGGATATACTGTATGTATCCTTCACTGCTGGCCCATGCCACACACATCCAGGGTGATGAAAGTGCGGCTGAGCAAGTAACCATGAAATCTCTGAATGTGTTGTGGATGGAATTAGTTCAACAAAGATTACCCAATACACTCACAGTGTATCAGTACTTTAAAGTTATACAATTAAAACTCTGATGTATTCTCTGATTCTCTGAACAACTGCTCATGAACTGTAGTCCACACAGCCTGTGTAGAAGCTATAATATCATTCTAAACACAACATTTTATTGCAGTCACATTTGAGAGAACATTACTTTTTATTGCCTCCACAGACGCCAATATGAAGTGATGAGCACCTATTTAATGTTGTAAAAAATTCACATTTCTTTGGTAAATATTATGATCTTAGAGACACAAGTGCACAAATGCAATTATATATTTGTAAAAAGATTCCCTGAAGTTCACACACACACACATATATATATATATATATATATGTTTTTTTTTTATATATATTTTTTTTACAAAAGACTTGCATCTATGATCGCAGTGTTTCCAAAGAAACTGAAAAAACAGATCACTGACAGCAAAAAGATTACTTGGTGTCTCTGTTAGAGTAACACAAAATCTCAAACACACGAAACTGTAAATACATGCACGCAGGCATATCTGGATAAGCATGTGTCCTCATGACAAACTCCACGTACATACGTGCATCAGCTTCACAATCATGAAAAAGCCGCATTTTCCAGAAAAATGCTTCACAAAACTGAACTAAGAGCGACTCACTCAAGTGTTTAGTCAGGAACAACTTAAAAAAAAAAAAACCTTAAAATCTTTGTACTTTGAGTTTTTTTATACTGTAAAATCAGAATCAGAGGAAAATGCACCAGAAAAAAGAGCAGATAAAACCACAAAATAGCAATAACACAGAAATTCTCAATCGCAGATAAGGAAGCTTGGCGCCACGCAACGCAGCTCAATGCATTTCTATTGCCATTTCATAAACTGCCATTTCAAAACAAGCTTTCTGAAAACACATGCAGAAGACAAACAGGAAAACTCACCAAGGTGCCTTGTTAAAATGCACGCTCAAACACAACGGTCTCTACTCCTACAGAAAATCTTAACAGTCTCCTGTCCCTTGGACTGCCAGGGAATCAAAGCTATGAAAAGATGTGAATGTAGCTGAGCAAATAGGATTAAAGATGGCTAAATCCAAATGGCTGGAAGCACAGCATGCATTAAAGAGGAATTCTCTCAGGAAAGATAATCCCCATATACGCATTTTAACACACTTCACTCACTCCTGTGTTTTTTTACACACTCATAGTAAAACCACGATTGCCTGACTGTCTACACACGAGTCAATAAACTCTATAAATACAGCCGCGCCTGGACCGCTCAGACTGCAGCAATGACACATGCAACTTCTAATTTCAGAGGTGGAAACTTTATACATACACTGTAATAATTCTGACAATCATACATGCTGCCACATTCCCTCTTCTTCTCTTGCCAACACTAAACCAGCAGCACTGTTGCTTACCTTCAGCACCTCCATCGGTACCTGTGCAGCAGGCGGCAAACTGACAGGCACGCTGACATTGATGGCTGGGGTTTGGGCCGCTGTGGTTTGCGGGTACTGGGAGGCCTGTTGTCTCTGCTGCTCCCGCCGCTCCTGCTCCTGAAGCTGCTCCCGCATCAGCTGTTGCCGCAGCAGGATGCGTGATGTCATGGCCGAGGAGCTCAGCGGGGGCTTGGAGGAGCCGTGCTGGTCCGATGGGCTGCTGCCGAGGGGAGAAAGATGCCAGATGAATGAGCAGAGATGGCCAGGGTGGGGATGTCAGGGAAGAGAGGGAAAGTGAAAGGAGGTGAGGGGGACTGGAAAAGGTGAGGTGAGGAGAGGCAAAAAGAAAGAGACTGATAACAGAGAGAGGGTAGGGAGAGGTCAGACGAGGAAAGAGAGGTCAAGCAAAAGAGACAAGTGAAGAGAACGATTAGAAGAAAAGGTAGAGGAAGATGGAGGGAAGGCAGATGGAATAAAAGGTTAATGTGATGAAAGGAAACTGGCTGAGAGGATGACTGAAGGAGCAGAGATCAAAATGAAAATCTTTACTGTAGAGCTGCAATGACTGGTCGATTGATTGATTAGCTGATCGAAAACACATTAAATGATTGTAATTTGAAAAAAATGTGACCGTCTTTTAATCATTTCAGTCATTTTTAAGCTTCCATCTAGCTTCCTCGTGCAATTTCTGATGGTAAATGAAATGTCATTATGCTTTGAACAGTGGACTTACAAGAGAGCAAAAAAGCAGCTGCTGCGCTCAACAGAAAGAGGAACATTTTTAACAAAAGGTTGCTTCAGTTTTCCCACTCTCTTAAATTTAGACGGCTTCTCCCCAGACAGAGTCCTGCAGTCCTAAAATAGAGAGACTCTGCTGAAGCAGAAGTTGTCGGGATGAAGCCTTCATCGAGTGAGTGATCCTTTTGATAAAACTCAGTAAAACGTCTGGCCAATCCAGCTGTGCAGTAATCGCACTAATTAGCCAGCGGAGTCAAACACAGCTTCGGTCTACAGCGTATTCAGTGGGTGTTGAGCCCTCAACATACCATAATTCTCCCCCCCAGCACTGCATATAATCTCATTGTCTGACACCCCGCCCACTGAACCCTGCACAAAAACAAAATCATGCTATATTATACAATAACATATATTAAATTAACTAAATGACATATATAATCACATTATCTACAGTCAAATAAGAGAGCACACTAGACTTATTTTTCAAGATTAATATAAACAGTTCTATTAATTTCTGAAGACAATGCTGAGGCGAAATCGCTGATTCCTGATCCTGGATAAATTCATTAGTAAGTATATTTGATAACTGTGTTACAGCCGAACAAAGACTGAAGCTTGTTCTCTGAAAGTACTGCAGCAGTTTGCTTTCAATCCGACAGCATTTTTTTGTTCAAGTTCCTTTGTACTTCACCCAATACACAGAATCAGGTTTAGTGTTCATATGCATAATTCCTTTGTCTGTGTGACTTTGGGCGATTGTGTTTCCTTTCATCCCAGATATTTCAACCAAAAGTCACTGGATCTAATGCTAAAACAGCTTGTTTTAATTTTTCATTTCCACTGCCAGAACTGAATCCTTTGATTTTTCTTCTTTCTTATAATCTACTTCACTGTTTGAGGGTTTGAGTTTTAAGACAAGGGCAGTTTCATTTCCCTTTCTTTTCGCCAGTTACAAAAATAAGAACTAGAACTGCAGGCAAAATTACCATAAAAATTTTCATTAAACTAGAGCTGAAACAAGTGGGTGATTAATCCATTTTAAGGTTAAAACATTTTTTTTTTTTAATGAATAATGAATGAATCATTCAAGCAAAAATGCCACTGGTTCTGACTTCTAAAATGCAAATATTAACTTCTTTGATAGTAAACGTCATATTTTTGGGTTTGTGCTGTTGGTCAATCTGAAACTGTCGTCTGTGTTGTGGGAAGTTGCGATGTGATTTTTTTTTTTTTACAATTTTAATTGACTAATTGAGAAAATAGTCAACAGATTCATTGATAATGAGCATAATCGTTAGTTAACACTGATGCTGCTCAGCCTTATGATCTTTACTTTTTAAATAGTGCCTCTTAATGTCAAATGTAAGTGTTGTACAATATGCTGGAGAAATCCACAATTACACACAATGGGAGACAGTTGCCTATTGTACTGATTGCTTCACCTTGTCTTTTGATGCCACCCTAAAACACACACACTCACACAGTCGTGCACTCTGTGGCGGAAAGTAATTGAGTAGATTTACCCAAAATTTGGGGTACTTGTACTTTGTACTTTCCTTTGAGTATTTCCATTTTAAACTACTTCATACCTCTACTCTACCACATTGTACACACACACTGTATTTTACTAGACTATATTTATCTGACAGCTGCAGATACTTTACAGATCCAGATTATACAAAATAAGTGATGATACATTATTACATATCAAATGCCACTAGTTATGCCAGTGCTACCCGACTGTATATAAAGTAGTTTAGCCCCATGTTTACCAGCTGCAACATTAAAGTGACACTCATAGATGAATGTGTCAATTATTAATATCCAATAATATGTATTATTTTGAAATAGTTTTTATGAGTGCGTCCACGTTTTGTTTGTATCATGCATGAATGTGTGCGCGCAGACAGCTTGGTTTCATGCTGTTCCACTGATTGACAGTTGGTGGCAGTAATGCACCGACAAACACAGCAAGGTGCCAACTGCTATACCAAGTAAATGTGGATGTAAACAATGCATCTGAAATATTAAAAAGAAGAAACCTATATAACGTGTTTTGGTTAGAAACATTGCATATAAACATAACTTCTGTTCGTTTACATAAAAAAACTCCACAGGGCAGCTTTAAGCAGCAGCCGCCGCTAACAGCCTCCCTGCCCTGCGTCAGTCCTGTGTTTGCACTTCAGGATGTTTACTTTTACAGAGGTGAATGAAAGTGCAGCAAAAACACAAAAATACGTTTCCTTCGTCCACAGATATTAAATCCGACACTTTTCTTTCCCCCACACTCAATCACGCAAATTATTATTTTATATAAACAATGTTTTTAAAAACACATCTATCAGTTGTTGCTAACAGTTACAGATGTTTTTTTTCTAGTTATTATTGACTCTAATTAAAAACCACGGCTGCACATATTCTTCAGCTTATAAATATCTCTGTACAGCAGCTCCTTTCACAGCTTTACATCTGCTCTCCCCTCAGCTTTACACCATCAACTTTAATAGTTTTGGCAATGACTCTTCTGATCAAAACATCTTCACACCCTTCCAGGCAATCGGAGTGAAAAACACATTTGTTGTCACCTCAAACACAACAACAACCTGAAGGTGTAGCAGCACTTCCAGGAATAAGAGAGGATCCACCAGTTTCTGTCTCCAGCTCAAGAGACTCAAGAGCCGGCAGTGCGAGAGAAAACACAGACACACACCTGCACACCTCCATGGGAACAAAGCGTGTGTTTTTAAAGGACACTTCCGCAAAGATGAGTGAGTGTAATAACTCTGTTATTATGTCAAATAGCACTCCATCATGTAAAGCCAAATCCACATGAAAACTCAGACAGTGTGTTGACTTTTTGAGAAGAAATTACAGAAGAACTTAGGGAAATGCAAAAACAACACTCTAACAGTCTACCGCGATGTTAGCAGCTCTGTGAGGCTGTACATAGGCACACCAGAGCTCTAAGTTAAATGCTAATGTCACAATGACAATGCTAACAATTATCGCAATTATAATGCTTACCATATTCACCACCCAGTTCTGCGTGTTAGCATGCTAACATTTGCTAATTACTATTACACAGAAAGTACATACAAGGGGAGTGTCATTAGTTTTGATGAATGAACCAAAGCACAAATAAAAAAAAAAATTTGTCCCACTGGTTCATCTGCCAGATGAAAAGTCAAAGTTATTAGGATTCATCCCCTGGGCGCAATCCATGGTAATCAATCCAAAAGCTGTCAAGAGCTTTTACTAATAAAATCAAAGACCTCAACCTCATAGTGGCACTAAAGGAAAAGTCGAGGGATCATCAAAGTCAGTATAAGCTTTGTCCTCTGGACACCATGAATGTCTCTACACAATCTCATTGGGATCCATCCAATATATGTTGAGATATTTCAGTCCGGACCAAGAAAAGCAAAATTGGAAGTCACGCTTTGTAAAGCCAGGCCAACTGTGACTCAGACTGTGCTTTTCACGCCTGAACATATAGCATTAGGAGAAGACACTGTTTCTAAACTACCTCAAACTTTGTTGAAAATTTCTATACTGACATTTCTTATGCCATTATTCATCAGCCAACATATACAACACTAACAATACATCTGTGATGAGCCAGTATTGGCATTGGTATCCCTAAAACCGGCCAAATCTGTGTATCTGTCAGGCTGTACTTGAAATGCAGACAAAATTTTAAAATAGATCTAAAATGTATAATATTGACCCCCATCAAAAGGTTTAATTACACTTGAATAATTACAGGATATTAGCCCCCATGTGTTTCCAAACAGTGGTGAATGGTTTATAGCTAAGATCTACTGAGAGTTGTAGCACCTCATGATTTTCTTTAATACATTCCTGAATATCAGATTGACTTGTGTGTATATGTGTGTGTGCATGTGTATTTGTGTGCGCGTGCGTGCATGAATGACCAGAAACTGCTCTACAAAGCAAAGCTCAACCTCTCTCTCTCTCTGTTTCTTCTCTTGAAATGTTCTGTGGCTTCTTGCCAAACAAACCACTGAAACACATAAAAAGCTCTTTTGTCCTTTTTAACTTTGTCACTCGTGTGTGTGTGTGTGCATGCGTGTGTGTGCGCGCGCGTGTGCGCACCTCCTCTCTTGTTTGTGTGTATCTCAGAAAAAACAATGGCTGCACAGTCTTGAAGAGCCCCACCCACCCAACTCATGATTCCTCTGGATCTGCTCACTACACTACTCCATCATACTCCATTAGTCAGAGCTGAGTCTTTGATGCAGGTCTTAATGACTGACAGACAGACAGACAGACAGACAGACAGACAGACAGACAGACGGACAGACAGACAGACAGACAGAAAGACAGAAAGACAGACAGCGACTGAACAGGAGAATGAAGTAGCTTTGCATCCAGAGAGAAGCAAAGGTAAGTAACAGAGTTCAGTGGAGCGACTCAGGTCTGATCGCAGTCAAACCACTGAGCTGTTAAAGAAAAATATTC